GCCTTGCAAAAAAGAAGAGAGTCATCTGCAAAAAAGCAGATGAGATAGAAGGGGGGCATTCCAAGATATTTTCATGCCTGACAAGTATCCAGAGGAGATAGAGTGAAGGATGAGAGCAAAGAGCAACTCAGCCACAATAATAAAAAGGTAGGGGGATAAGCGATCCCCCTGCCTTATGCCTCGAGTAGGAGTAACATAGCCAGCCACTGAACCATTAACTTTGAAAGAAAAGGAGGCAGTTGAAACACACAGCATAATTAACTTCACAAAATCCAAATCAAAGCCCATCTGTATCATGATTTTTTTAAGACATAACCATTCGACCCTATCAAATGCTTTAATAAGATCCAATTTCAGAGCCATAAAGAAGTTAGGGCCAGAAGAATGCCTATTCAGATAGTGGAAATCCTCTTGGGCAATGATGATATTATCAGTTAACTGTCTCCCCTCTAAGAAAGCAGCTTGGTAATTACTCACACAGTTGGGAAGACAAGTCTTAAGTCTCAAAGCAAGAAGTTTTGAGATGATCTTGTAAATAACACTACAGAGACTTATGGGCCTAAAATGACTCATCAGTTCAGGTTTCAGGCATTTAGAGATTAAAGAGACAAATGTGTGATTACAATACTTGAGAATCATACCTGATTGAAAAAAACTCTGAACAATCTTCATGATATCATTTTTAATAAGCTCCCAGAAATGCTAGTAAAAGACTGCTGTCATCCCATCAGCTCCCGGGGATTTGGTAGGATGCAGGCTGAAAAGGGAGTTTTTAACTTTCTCTTTTTCAACAGGACTGAGAAGGGCCTTATTCATATTTGCTGTGATGCTTTTGGGAATTAGAGGAAGGATGTTGTCACCTCCCCAGCATCCTTCAGTGGAGAAAAGGTCAGTATAGAACTCAGAGATGTGGTTCTCAATTTCCAACTGAGAGAGAGGACTCTGCCTTGATTATTAATCAGTCTTGATATGGCATTGAGCTTTCTTCTATGAAGAGTGAAGGCATGAAAAAACTTCGTGTTTGTATCTCCTTCCTTTAACCATCTGTGCTTAGCTTTCTGATGCCAGTACATCTCCTCTTGAGCATGAGCCTTGCTAAGCTTATCTCTTGTTGATCCCCATTCTTCCCAATTAAGGTCTGTTTTGTCAGCATTCAACTCTTGCAGCTTCTGCGTGAGCTCAGCAATTGCAGCCTGATTCTGAGTTTTGAAGGAAGAACTCCATATGATGAGGGCAATTCTAGTGTTTTTAACCTTTTCCTTGAGCTGATAAAAAGGTGTGCCAGAAATAGGAATTTTCCATGCTTTAGTCACAGTTTCCTGGAAACCCTCCTTTCCAATCCATCTTTTGTCGAAGTGAAAAGAGTTTTTCCTTGCTTCTCTGGGTAAGCCAACATTTAATAGGACAGCTGAATGATATGATGAGCTCCTGATGATGCTGGTAGTTGTAGCATTTGGAAAAGCCTTAGTCCACTCAAAAGAAGCAAATGCTCTATCTAGTTTCTCCTCCACAAGGTGAGGGGGCATTCTATGATTACTCCCAAGTGTATTGGAATCCTTCCATGCCAGGTTCAGTCATTTCCATGTTGTTGATGAAATTGCTGAAACCTTGGAAACTGCTCTGAGGTCTGATGAGACCACCTACCTTATCAAGATTAGAAGTAATATCATTCCAGTCTCCAATAGAAAACCAAAAATTACCCCATTGCAAACTTTCAGCTACCATATGGGCCCATTGGGACTCCCTAATTAATCTAATGGGGCTAAGATACACAAAAATACCCCATTGGGGAACAGAAGAAAAAAGAACAAATTCCACTGCAATAAAAAAGTCTGTACAAAAAACCTTACTAATAGAAACATTAGAATCCCAACACAGCACCAAACCACCACTAAGACCCTGAGGATCAACAATAGAAAATCTATTATCAAATCCTAGCTTATTACAAACAGACTTAACAAAAGCATTTTGTTTTTTAGTTTCAGATAAGAACAGAAAATTGGGGTGATGAGTTCTGAGCAACTCTCTGATTTGGGAAATTGTAGAGGGCCCACCCAGCCCTCTACAATTCCACACCAGAGCTAACATTTATCACTTTGATTCACAATTAAAAAAATGAGCATGTATTTAATATTTTAATATATATATATAAATAAAAAAAAATTGAGAACCAACGGTTCTGACCCGGACCCGGCAGAAAATCGGCGGTTTTCGAACTCGCCAGTACAAGGCCAATTCGTTGAACCGACACTTAATTCTGACCGGGCCGGTTCCGGTTCGTCCAATCCAGGATCGGCGCCGGGCCGGGCTGGGCCAGAAACCGTCACCTGGCCATGTCTATGTGGTTGCTTTCTGGTGCTGCCTTGTCTTTTTGTTGTTTGGGATGTCTGGCTTCAGCTTCGGGTTTTCTAGCCCTACTTTGGTGGTTGTATTCATGTTGTTGGTCTTTCCGTTTTTCTCATGGTATTCTACTTCTCCTTTTTTTTTTCTAGAAAAAAAAATAAAAAATATACACTATCAACATCATATTTCGTTAATTCTACTTTTTTTTTTATTAAAACCAAAATAACAATATATTTTATTAAATCTCATAATTACACAAACCTAATTACAGCCATTACTACAAGAGAAATATGAAATAATACATTCCTAAGAAGAACTCGTGCTCGGGTGTGATATGCAAATTGTTTTGGATCTAGTTGGATAACGAACTACTAGCTCCGAGCTCTAATAACCTGAAAAACGTCGAGAAGGGGTCTCGACAAAAAGTCTTCTTGCTCTTCGGAAAACTGATATTACGAGAATCGAGTTATCATTACATACTTAGAGTATCTTGATACTCAAGATATGCCCTAATTGCGAACGAGATATTCTTGCCTAGCTTGTCACGCCTCTAGGATATGAGACTCACTCTTTATCCATGAAACACTCTTTCCGTTTTTATCATACGGCTCTTAGTTCTCGAGATTGTAAACCGTGACCTCTTACCTACATGCCGCAAGATAACTTAGGTCGCAATCACGACTTTCACTCCCACGACCTACGAGTTCTGAGGTCTACCTGGGTATTCGAGCTTTTAAGGCTCTCTAACATCTGACCTATCCAAATTGGACCAACTTGTATCATGAGCTACGTGAGTGGGCTCGTGGACAGATTTAAGTATTGGAATCAGGTGATGAAGATCATGTATCGTGAATTGTGTGTTGTGGAAAATCGAACTAACGACATTGGTTAGCCCAAGAGATTTGTGCTTAGAAGAGCATTTTTTTGTAATATTTTATTGCTTAATGAAATCAAAGATGATTACATATGCTATTTAAAGAAGATAAATGCTAAGAATATAAAGAAATTCTAATCTTAATGAAATTAAATATCTAAGCGCTTAAGAATCTTTAAAATAATCAAATACCTATACTATTTAGGAATAGAATTATAATAATAGTTATACTAGGAAACTTGGCTAACTTGTCTCTCAAGACTCGCCATCAAGCCTTGCACCTCAAGCCTCGCGTGGAATTCTCTGTTATCACGTCGACGGGACGTCCCAGCGCGCCCCGTTGACGCTCGCGTGCATTTAATGCGTCGTGCTACCCTTTGACTCTAGAACTGTCTGGTCGATAGGTTAGCCGGCGGAGATGTGATTTCCCATCATTAGGCATCAAGTTGCCCATATTTTATTGCCTTATGCTCCGCATGGTAGCCCAACTCGAGTTTATGTTCCTGTCTTGGTTTTAGCCTCACTACCTCTTGCAGCTCGTTTGTTCCTAGTGTGATGGCTAGCCTGCGAACCCAGCTGGACTTACTGGATGTGGGCTTTTTTTTTCTCTACCTTGTGGTCAACAAGGGTCAACAAGGTGCATGAGTGAAGACACTCAAAATTAAAACCTCTAAAAAACCGAGTATCCAATAAGCTCATATGACTCAACCAATAAAAATAGATTAAAATCAATTTTTTTTTTTTTTTTTCATTTTCAATTAGGCCCTCAGTAACAAGAACATTTCTCATTATATCTAGACTCCAGTGAGATGGACTGTTTCTACATTCGAGAAGGTAGAGCCGACCTCAGAGTAGTTTTCGCCGTTGTCTCAGGTCCTATGATGAGGTGTGAAGGTGGCCGTCTTCCCGGTGTTCTTCCGCTATGGCAAGCCCCGACGGTTTTCTCAATTTCAGGCGGCGAACCATTTTTTCCCCTTTTTGGAACGATGCGAGGGAAATTCCAGCCATCTCCACCGCACAGCTTCTCTCCTCCTGGTGTTGGATTGCAGGATTGGCAGCCAAGGGCAGACCGAGGTCCGGGTATTGTGCTTGGGCCTGGTTTATTTTGGTGTCAATTGTGGGTGGTGGATGTGGGGATTTCCACCCTAGAGCAGTGGCATCTGCCCAGATTAGGGTTGGGGCTGTTGGAGTCGGGATTAGTTAGGCGTTCTTCTGCAGTTTTGAGTTGGATTTTGGGGTTGTGGCTCGATCCGTTTGGCGTTGCCGTCGAGTTGCTTGGTGTAGTTTGTCTGCCGAGGGGAGAATTGTGTTATTGTATTAAGTTTTTCTACTTGTTTTAGATTGGTTGTTAGCGTCTGTGTGTTTTGTTTCATTTTGCTTGTGTTTTTTCTATTTCTCTCCTGTTGGAGGGAAAATTTAATAATTAAATGAAATATTAAATACATCAAAAGTAACAGTTTTTTGGAGAGAAAATGATTAAATAGCCACATAACTCAAATTAAATAGGTTTTATTAAATGCTATTAGCTAGTAATTATATATATATTGATATAGGTTTTATTACAAGCATATATGCCAACAAATACCTGCTTTCCGTACATAAACTGTATAAAGTCGCTAAAACGATTTACGAACCGCCACTCAGTCTTCTGCCTCTCTTGTAAAACCCAACCCACCACCACAGATCCATTTCTTTCTATATGTACATATATATATATATATATATATATATATATATATATATATATATATACTTTTTACATTCGTCCCTTTTTTGTTTTAAGATGTCGTCCCCTAAAGCTAAGACGGTCGTCCTAAATACGTCCGACGGGGAGACTTTCGAGATGGATGAAGCTAAGATGGTCGAGCCGAAGACCTTTGACGGGGGGACGTTCGAGGTGGATGAAGTTAAGGTCATCCTGAAGACCTCCGATGGGGAGACGTTCGAGGTGGTAAAGGAGGTCTCCGTCGAGTCGCTGATGATAAAGCACATAATTGAAAAAGAACTCGCCGACATCGTCATCTCGCTTCCCAACTCCTCGTCGGGGGTGCTTACAAGGGTAATTGAGTACTGCAGGCGTCACGGGTTCGGGCAGTACGATGACACATTTAAGGTTACGAAGCCGAGTTCGTGAAGGTCGACAACGAGCTGCTATTTGAACTGATCTCAATATTCTTTCAGCTTCCACCTTTCTATTCTCAAATCTTTTGTTTTGAACCTGGATTTTGTTGGCGATCGATCAGGCTTTTCCGCTTGTTTTTGTGGCGTTTACGGTTTTTGCCTCAATAGTTTGATGACTCTGGTGTTATGTTCTGTTTTGTTAATGCTAATTCTGTACTTTGTTTGCTCTTTCACGACTTTGGTTTTTATAACTCTGATTTATTATGAGCTTCTTTGTTTTTCCTTGGTGTATTTTACCGTGAGATCATAGTTTTTTAGCTGTACTAGCTTGTTTATGTGGGCTATGAACTAATGTTTGATTATGCTGTTGTGTACAAACTGTTCTAAGAATGTGTAATGTGTAGGCGGTAGGCTTACATGCATTCAGGAGCAGTCTCTGTATATGTTGTTTTCTTTGTCACAATTGCTTTTGGGGTTATGTTTCTTTTTTTCGCGTCTCCCTTATTTTAAATTTATCGATTATATTCCTGAGTTTTTTTGGTGAGCCTTGTTGAATTGTAGTTTAAGTTTTATATGTAGAGATCACAAATTTTTTGATTCATAAATAAGAACACAATTTGGGAATTTTCCATATTCTCATTCAATCTTAAAGATGCGAGCTCACGTTCAGTACATATATAAAGAAGAAGACGAGCATGAAATACTCGTGAGCTAAGGGCCAATCATAGACCAACACATAGCAACCCTAACAATAAAGAAAAGAAAACAGAAAAGATAAAGATGCACTAACAACTCTTTAAGTAAAAAACAACGTCTTTAAACAATAACAAAAGAAAATAGAAGCTAGTAACCATAGCAACCATGCATGAAATATAAATTCCATGCGAATACTTCAATATATCACCACCCCTCCCCCTCTAGTGAGAATGTGGGGAGTGCACATGCCGAACTTGACAAGAAACCGATGAAAGACAGGACCTCCCAAAGCTTTAGTAAACAAATTAGCCGGCTGAGAAGAAGTGCTAACATGCTTGGGAGAATGAAGCCATCCTTGAACTGATTACGTACCACATGACAATCGATGTCCAAATCTTTGGTCCGCTCGTGAAAAACAGGATTGGCAGTGATGTGAATGGCCTACTTGTTGTCACACCACAAAGGAATAGGTCGTGCAAGATGTACACTCAAATCACGAGCAAGATAAGAATTCCATTGCAACTCACACACTGTGGAGGCCATGGATCTGTATTCAGCCTCGGCCGAAGACTGGGAGACCATTTTCTGCTTCTTGGTCATCCAAGAAATCAGAGCATCCCCCAAGAAAATGCAATATCCAGTCAATGATTTGCAAGTTAAAGTGTAGCGATGGATAAGGATTGTAATGCAGACCCAACTGAGGACAACCTTTAAGGTATCTCACAACATGTAGAGCAACTGTCCAATGAGTTTGGGTTGGAGCATGGAAAAACTGACTTAGCTGCTGAATTGCATAAGAAATATCAGGCCGAGAAAGATTGAGATAAAGCAAACGACCAATTAACCTTCTGTATGCCTCAGGGTTCTGAAAAACAATAGAGTACTGATTCGAGAGGTTGCAACCCTGAGGTAGAGGAGTGACCACACTCTTGGAGTCTTGCAATCCAAGATTAGTAACTATGTCAATGATGTATTTCCTTTGATTCAAGAAGGTTCTCTGTGAGTTTCTGCACACTTCTAGTCCCAAGAAGTATTTAACAGGCCCCAAGTCTTTAAAGTTGAATAAACCAAGCAAGTAACACTTCAACTATTCAAGCACTTAGAGAATTCCCAATGATGAGTACATCATCAACATAGATCAATACGTCTGTTGTCTTAACAAAAAGACAATGATAATGAGTGGATTGAACAAAGCCGTAAGCTAGAAGTTTATCTAAAAATTCGATGTTCCATTGTCTTGAAGCTTGCATCAAGCCATATAAACCTTTCTACAGCAAACATACTTCCCATATTTGAGCCTTGACATACCCTGTTGGAGGTGTCATGTATACTTCTTCCTCTAAAAAACCATGCAAAAATACATTGTTGATATCAATATGATACATTTGTATATTAAATTGTATGGCCAGGGCAATGATGAACCTTACAGTCACTAACTTGGCAACAGAAGAAATGCTATCAAAGAAGTCCACCCCTTCCTTTTGTAGGTAGCCTTTTGCCACTAGCCTGGTCTTGAACTTATCTATACTTCTATTAGGATGCCTCTTGATCTTATAGACCCACTTAGACCCTATAGCTTTCTTCCAGGTGGAAATTTGCCAAGTTTCCAGGTTTCATTGACTTGCAGAGCATCTAGTTCTGTCCTCATTGCATCAATCCATCTTTTATCTTTCATTGCTTGCTCATAAAACAATGGCTCTGATGTATCTTTGTCAATCTCAGCCAAAAATAACTGCACATTTGAGTAATGATTAACCTCAGTCAAGAAGTTGACCTCATCGTCTACAAGCCACATAGGTGGTTTTCTGACCCTTTTGCCTTTACTTGTCTCAACAGTGATATGTTCAGTCTCCTATCTATCTTCAATTGTTTCAGACAAATTTTCATCATTGTCTAACACCTGATCATCAACAACAGGTAAAGGAATAGAATCTGTCTTCTTATCACTATCATAAAAAGGAAATCTATCTTCATAAAATGTGACATCTCTTGAAATGAAGATGTCCTCGGTCTCAAGATTGGATACGCTATAACCTTTCACCTTAGTTACATAACTAAGAAACACACATGGGACTGCCCTGGCATCAAATTTTCTTCTATGGGATTGCATATTTGATGAATAGCATAAACATCAAAAAACTTTTAGTCTTTCATAATTAAGGTGGTAAAGTCCCATATAATAATTGAAAAGGACTTTTCCAAGCAAGTTTTTCAGCAGGTAAGCAGTTAATTACCTGTACAGCTGCCAAAAGGCTATATGGCACTCCTTTCTCAAATTGGCCTGAAAAGATAGACACCTTGCCACCTCCAAGATAAATCTTTTTTTTTTCCTCTCCACAACCCCATTTTGTTGTGGAGTATAAGGACAAGATCTTTGATGTAGAATGCCATTCATTCTTAGCAAATCCCTGACCTCTTTGTTAATGAATTCACTACCATTATTCGGTCTCACTTGTTTGAACTGATACCCAAATTGAACCTGCACCATCTTAACAAAGAACTCAATGTGCTTATAAGTTTCTGATTTCTGCTTCATCAAGAATATCCAAGTTCCTCTTGTAAAATCATCAACTATGGTCAACATATATGTTGTGTTAGTAATTGATTCTTCATGATATGGACCCCAGACATCCATGTACAACAGGTCAAATTTTTTTAATGTGTGTATGGCACTTTGTGGAAAAGAAAACCTGCACTATTTTCCTTTATGGCATATGTCACAAGTCTGCAGACCATTTTTCATATCTCCACATTTCAAAAACTTCATATGCTACATGCAAGAGAAGGAAGTGTGTCCTAACCTCTTTGCTAGAGTTCTAAATCAGCCTGACCTCCCATAATTTTCCCCACTGCATAAGCAAAACTTTGTGAGATGTCCAACACATATAGTCCACCAAGTGGTCTACCAGCAGCCAAAACAATATTTCTCACAGGGTCTATCAGCTGACATCTTTCATTGGCAAATTCAAACTTTAGGCCATAGTCTATGACCAACTGATATCAGATTATATTTGAAATCTGGAATCAGAAGGACATTCTTCAATACAATGTCATCACTTATCCTCACTTTTCCAATCTCATTTACCTTAATTTTGCAACCATCTGGCAGATTGACAATGACCAAAGCTGGTGTGTCAAAAAGGTCAACAACTAAATCAGCATATGAGCATATGTGTCTGCTTGCCCCAGTGTCAATAATCCAACTACCCCTCTCTAGTGAACTCAATGAGTTTGAAGGCATAATTTTCTAAATTCTCTATAAAGTCCACAAAGTGTGAGAAGGAATGATTCTCACTACCTTGTTTTCTGGTCATGTACTTACCAATCTCCTTCTGAACAATTGAACTTATGACTGTCATTGAATCACTGTGTTGTGACTTCTCATCAGAATCACCACTTTTGGTCATATCCTCACTATCTGCCATGTTTGCACTATGAGTTGTTCTTTGCCCCTTCAATTCCTTGTACCATTTTGGATACCCATTGAATTTGAAGCAACCCTGTACCTCATGCCCATTATACCCACAATGTGTACAGTAGAGCTTTGCTCTTTCTTCCTTTTACATCATTTTTCCTCCTCTTCCCCTTCCTGTATTATTATATGCTTGAGTAGAAAAACCCCTATTTTCAGTCCCTCTACCATAGCCTGAGATTCTCATTCCTCCTCTTCCATAGTTTTTCGTAGCTATCATATCTGAGCTCTCTAAAGGATCAGACTATTTCACATGTCTTTGTTTCTTCACTTTCAAAATCATAGAGTAGGCCTTATTAACTGTTGGAAGTGGATCCATAAGAAGTATTTAATTTTTGACTGGTTCAAAGACTTCATTTAGCCCCATAAGAAACTGCATCCATTTAATTTCCATATCATTCTCATATATCTTCTTTCCCAAACCACAGGTGCATTCAGGCAGAGATATCAAAGATGCATATTCATCCCACAAACATTTTAACATTGTGTAATATACAGTCACTGAAGTTGTACCCTGTGAAAATGTAGCTATTTCTTTCCTCAGTTGGTATTTCAAGGGACCGTTACTCTCACCATACCTCTCTGCAAGTTCATCCCATAAATCTTTCGACTTGTCACATACATAAAAGCTTCAACTATATCTTTTGAAATTGAATTCAGAAGCCAGGAAATTACCATTGATTCTACTTTCTGGAAAAGCTAATATTCCTTGGTGTTTGTCTCCGGTACTGCGATTATTCCATAGATAAAACCGAGCTTCGACTTTGCTCTTAGTGTTGGGTTCGATATACCGTACGGAACAGAGAATGCAGCGAAATTTAAAAATTTTATAAGTATTTATCTCA